GCACTGAGTGGCACTTTATACCTCCAGGTTCGCCACATTTCGGAGGGTTATGGGAGGCAGGTGTGCGTTCAACGAAACATCACACTATACTACGAAATGAAACATCTAACGTAGGCTGACATAACTAACTTTTTGACAGTTTACTTTTTTATAAACTACTAAACATGCCGCCACCCAAGGACGAATTAGTCCTTTAAATTAGGATACTATGGGTAATAAACATATTTTTGTAATAGGCCTTTTGAATATGCTATTATTACATTTAACCGTAACAACTCTGACTATCCTATCGTTACCTGGGTGAGTTTGTAATATTCTTCCTAACAGCCATTTTGAAGGTGGCAAACATACATATTTTACAATAACTAAATCATTAACTTTAACAGGATTTTTAATGGAATGCCATTTATACCGATGTTGTAGTGTAACTAAATATTCTTGAGACCATCTTTTCCAAAACGACTGCAACATGTGTTCAATATGTTGCCAACGGTTAAGTCTATTCATTGGAATATCAGTCACATTCTCGTGTGGAATTACACTTGGTGGGCCAAACACGATAAAATGTCCAGGAGTTAGGGCGGTATAATCATCAATCGAATTGGTTAAAGCAGAAATGGGACGTGAATTAAGACAACACTCTATCTGAGTCAAAAGGGTAGCATACTCTTCAAATGTGAGTTTAGTATCCCCCACAACACGATTGATGTGATGTTTCGTTGAACGCACACCTGCCTCCCATAACCCTCCGAAATGTGGCGAACCTGGAGGTATAAAGTGCCACTCAGTGCGATCTGTAGCTAATAACTCGCGCAATTCTACAGGCAAAGATGATCTAGCTTTGTTCAACATTTTTGTTAACTCAAAGTTTGCACCAATGAAATTAGTTCCACAGTCTGAAAACAAATGAGTACAATGCCCACGGCGAGAAGTAAATCTTTTGAATGCAGCTATAAAGGCACTAGTTGATAATTCTGAAACTAATTCCAAATGTATAGCTTTAGTTGAGGTGCAGATAAATACTGCAATATACGCTTTATACAAAGTAGCTTTCTTAAGCTTTGAAGATCTTAGATAGCAAGGACCAGCAAAGTCAACACCACTACTAGAAAATGGTTTGGAGGCGGTAACTCGTGCTGATGGCAGATTTCCCATCAATTGAGTAGCAAATTTTGGAGCATATCGTATACAAGAAATGCATCGCTTAACATGTAATTTCACAAGAGACTTAACATTGGTGATCCAATATGTGGATCTAATAACATTTAACATAAGCAATGGTCCTCCGTGCAAGGTTTTCTTATGTGTGTAATCTATGATCAATTTAGCTAATTGCGATTTTCCAGAAATTACAATAGGGTGTTTGGCGTCGTAAGGGATAGGGGCATTTTTAAGCCTACCACCTATTCTTATTATGTTATGTTCATCAATAAATGGACGTAAAAAATACAAAGGACTCTTTTTTGAAACACATTCACCATTCGATAGTTCATTGATTTCAGTTTGAAAATGATACATTTGTGAAATCTTAATGCAACAATTCATGGACTGTATTAATTCATTAGTTGTTAAATACTTAGGGAATTCATTAGACATATTTGTATCTAAAGTTACTCTATTTGTAACGCGTTGCTTACTTATTTTAATAAATCTCATACAATATGCCAAAACCCTTTTCAGTTTTGTTAGACTAGAATACTTGCATAAAATAAATTCTTCCGGCATAACATTAACACTTAAACATTGTATAAAGTCAGCTTTTAATTCTAAATCAGTTTCATGATATTCATTAGTTGACATAATATCCTTAGTAGTATGTAACCATTTTGGGCCGTTCCACCATAATTCATAATCTGGTAATTGTGCTGGAGATATTCCCCTAGAAGCACAATCTGCTGGATTTTCTTTTGTATTAACATGACGCCAACGATTAGCACGCGTCACATTTATTATTTCCGATACACGATTTCCAACAAAGGTCTTCCAAGAATTTGGTGGTTTTTGAAGCCATACCAGAACTATAGTGGAATCAGTCCATCCAAAAACATTATCGTCTGAAACATTTAAAGAACTTTGAATTTTTTCCATCAATTTTGCGGTCAATACAGTTCCGCACAACTCTAACCGTGGAATAGATATTTGTTTGAGTGGCGCTACTTTAGTCTTGGCTGCTACTAGTTTAACTTTGACCTGAAAATCATGAATAATTCTAATGTACACAACGCCAGCGAATGCAGTGCTAGACGCATCACTAAAACCATGAATCTCAATTTGCGTATTCGAACTAGTCATTCCGATCCAACGTGGTAAGTAAATGTCTGGCATTTTGAGCATTTGATCTTTATATGATAACCATTCGACTTTATGATTTTGTGGCAATTCTTCATCCCAACCAAGACCAAGTAACCACAGTTTCTGAATAAAAACTTTAGCAATTATAACTATTGGTGACATCCAACCTAAAGGGTCATATATTCTAGCAATATCAGCAAGGACCTCTCGTTTAGTAAATTTTGGTTTTGACTCTTCTCCAAACTTAATACTCAACTCAAAGCGATCCTCTTTTGGATTCCATTTTATCCCCAAAGTTTTAATTGATTTTTCCATAATGATTTCATATGACTCTTGTGGTTGAATATCATCACCGCATATAGCGCTCATAACATTTTTTGAATTATTTTTTTTATTATGGCACCAAAAAAAAATATCCTGGGAGTCAAAAGATATTCACGTGGGCATCTTCTATGTTAGGGGTTAAGGTTTCCGCACATAGTCCTTAAAGAGGACCATTGTGTGTAAGTCATAGGGACCGGTTACACACGGGCATATTTTAATATCTAAAGAAATTCATTCAATATCAATAGTACTTTCGTTTTATAATATTAGCCATAATAATATGAGTCATATCTTACTGTACAACTAGATACAAAATACTATACAACAAAGCCTACCGACCATCCTGCTTGCTTGCTGCTTGCATTTACTGAGACGCCTCAAAACGTTTAACAGGGTATAGGGGTTGAAGGATGTGATATTGCAGTTGCCGTTGCAACTAGTCTACTCGTATGCAGTTCTATGTCTTACTTTTTGTGCGCTCCCCGTTATTTCATTGATATTTAACTAACCCGCTTTAGAAATAGGAACACGATTATCGTCGCGTGCGTCATTATAATCGTACGAGCCAATACAAAATCTATGGATCAATTTAAATGCTCGTTCTTTTACTTGACATTGGCTGAATGAAAAAACCGTGCTTGCCACAAAAATAAAAAAAGTGCTCGTTCGATTGCTTCGCGCCAAAAAATTCATACGAAAAACCCCACGTCATACTGGCGCCAACTAATGACGTGCATTTTTCTAAATACTCATTGGTTTTGATAAACTGGAATCATGTTTTCTCCGAAGAATCGACAAGTTTGTGTGATTTGTGGACGCTCCGTTTTACGTAGAAGACGATTAACTATAACGAACAGACTACTTATTTGAAAACAACCCAACCGCAAGATACATTAAAATAACATTGTACCAAACTAAGTACGAGGACATAACATCACATTATCATTATACTTAATAAAGTTCTTTTTATTTTATTTTATCTAGTATACTTTTTTAATATTATTTAGCGTGTGATAGACTAAGTAACCTAAGACAGTCGTTTACTTCAATCATTATAGTAAGGATGCTTATTGAGCTAAAAGTTCCGATACAAATCCTGGTCAGGACAATGCTTGTTTATGTGTATTGTGTAGAACAAGGCCTTAAGCAACCGAAAAACTGAACTTCCAACTAAGTAGGTAGTTGGATTTTTTCTTCTAAGATAGCTATTTAAACAGTGGTGTCAATTCTGGCGTGATTCTCTAAACTTAAAACTAAATTTAAGGTCAGTCTCACCTTTTCATTCTATATAGAGAAGGACAAGGATGCACTGTTGTCAAATTTAAGTTTAGCTTTAGAGAATCATGCCAGAATCGAAATCAGTGTAACCTTAAATTAACGCTACTCGATTAAAAAGACTAATTCCCGAAAACGTCGAAATTACTTGACGCTGGTTGGTTTACCTTATTGTCCATACAATGACAGACTATGGATGAAGATAATTAAAAATATTCGAAATGAAATAATGTTTCATAATTAATCCCCCTTTTTTACACTTACCAATTAGCCTAGCCCCGGAGTAAGCACTGTAAGGCGTGTGTTATGGGATGCTAGGGTAACGGATAGAATACATATGTAGTACATTTATAAGTATATTGATATAGAAATACAAATTAAACATCTATGACTGGAGTACAAATGCTCGTACTCAGCACACAAACATCTGCCCCCAACAGGATTCGAACCCGGGACCTCTCGAGTCGACGACACCATGAAACCCGGCGTACAAACCACTCGACCACGGAGGTCGTCAATTAATATATCCGTCCTATATAATCGTCCTTGTATCTTTAAATATTATGTTCGTTATAGTTACTTTTACCTATGGAATTGTACCTATTTAACTTAAAATAACTAAAGACCCCCGGGATGGAATTTGATGCGCTTTGGCACAGATGATCATGACTATAATACCTTTCAAACAAATGTAGTTAAAGCCGTGGCGGACGTGGGTGCAGTGTCCATGCAATTTTGCCCATTGTCCTTTGCAGCACATTTGAAAAGAATGAAGATGACGTCTTCAGACAAGTGCGAATATTGTGAGACAGCTGTGGCTACATTAGATTATCTGATATTATTTTGTCCTGCTTTTAATATTCAAAGAATATTACTTATAGATGGCTTAATGAAGGTCTATAAACATAAAGAAATTCCCCGCCTCTTGCCATCTTTATTGGAAAGCGAAGATACTTATGAACACCTTTACACCTACATTACTTCTACTTTTATTATATTAACATTTGAAGAAAAATTTATAATCAACGAAGAATTTTACTAATGTATAGGCTGTATGGCCTTGTCCAAAGCCGTTAAATTTCTAAATAAAAAAAAGAAAATGGGAATAGGCGCCAATTTCATTCTTTGTGTGCTTGTCAAATTCGTCAATGTCATAATAATTTATTAAAATTTTGCCAGTTGCCTTTGTCTACTAAGATTTTGGTAATTTTTCATTCTGTTTCGAAAAATCATATTTTTTTTTCAAGAATTGTATAAGAAAATGCCTGAAGAATCAGCACCAGTTTTGAAATTCACTCGTATGAGTGAACACGCTTTCCCGCCGATGAAAGGATCAGATAAAGCTGCCGGTTTCGATTTAAAGAGGCAAGTACCTTCCTGCGTAAGCAATTATCATATTTAAACGTTCGTGTAAAAGTATAACAGAGTATATCCTTACAGAGGATATAAATAAAACATACCTACAAAATTTTGCCACCAATATACTAAACCAACAGGCGTTTGTCCATGTGGTAAATATTAATTTTATTTAAAAATATAATGTTGTGCATCTTTCACAGCGCCTATGACTACGTTGTACCGAGTAGAGGGAAAGAACTTGTAAAAACCGATTTGCAAATTGAGCTGCCTTCTGGTTGTTATGGCAGAGTAGCGCCACGATCTGGGTTAGCTGTTAAAAACTTCATAGATGTTGGTGGTAAGTTAATAACTATTATATCTCTTTCATTGAATAGAAACTAAATTTGACAGATGCTCTCATAGGAGTGAATTAGTTTTAAGACTGGGTGCACATGTACAGTTTCTTGATCAGGTATTAAAATTCGGAAACCTGAATGCATATTCTTACATTCCTATTAGTAGTTTACATTCTCACAACATCTAAAAATAGCATAATGAGCCACCTTGCACGGACATTTTAATTGCTCACTTATTTGGGACACTTAGTGTGATATCATGGTTCTCATTAACAAAAACAAGTTATCAATTCAGGTCTACGCACTTCTTTCTTTGACATATCCTGTGAACATAGGAGCTTGTTTGTTGATATGGACTTTAAATCACAACTGCTGTCAGGTTTCTAATATTGAATTTCCTAGAGGTTTATTAATATCATGCTTAAAATTTTTAACAAAAAATATTTCTGGAGGGGCAATTCAACGGTTTAATTAATAAAATTAAGAGTCATTTTTAATACATGCATAATTCCTATTTTTGATCTATCATTATAATCATTATTCTTATGCAACTTCATTCTCCAATTTATGAGATATTTTTATTTACAGACTTCTAATGTAGTTTACGCTTAGATTAGATTGAAAGAGTGTGAATCTTGTTTGAGATGAAAATCAAATTGAGAGCAGAAAGTATCTTATTACTTATTATAATTACATAACAAATGCGGGCAATAATGAATTTTCTGATAATCATTTTTGTGGTTATGTTACAAAGTACAATAAACGCAATTTTATATTTTTGTTTAACTTAAAATAACACTTCTATTTGAATGGAATTGTAATAAAAGTTCTTAGTTACTTAGTAATCATTATAGTATTTTTTTCATAACATAATAAAAAATATGGTAAGAATAAAAGTAACAATGTTTTGTTGCAGCGGGAGTAATCGATGAAGACTATAGAGGCAATGTTGGTGTTGTTCTCTTTAACCATTCAGACCAAGATTTTGTAGTCAAGAAAGGAGATCGAATTGCTCAGCTTATCTGTGAAAGAATCTGCTATCCAGTGTTAACAGAGGTTACAAATTTGACAGATACTAAAAGGGGTGATGGTGGATTTGGTTCCACTGGTAAGCAATAAAATTGGACCTTTTCACCATCTTCCCACCTCCCAGATTTGTAAACCAATTAACTTCGCAAACCACTTCAGGTACTTCCTTCCTTTCAAAAGAAAGTGTCCAGTTATGAGCTGACCACAAAACAATAATGTTGGTTTGCTCATTCATTTACTTTGTATTTTAAAACTTGTTATGAATATTTTAATGTAAGTCTTCTATGTGGTATTCTTCTAAGTTTAATTAATAAATAAGTATTTTGTAATAAATCATGTCATGTCTTTATTGCTGGGTCGGCAGTGCAGTAGTAATTTCAGGTAAATTATTTACTTATGTTTTCTCATACTTTTCTTAGTGACATCTAATCTAAAATATATGATACACCTACTGCTTCATATGCACTCAAAAAAAAAATAGATGAACTACATGAGGAAATAAAATAAAAAAATTCAACTATTTTATAGGATTTATTGGAATTGTACTATTTTCCTTATGAATCTAAATTCTCAAAATTATCTAAAACTGTTTCCAGCTTCAATTTATCAGGAACAACTAAAGCATTTTTAGTTAGCATGGGTTCCTTCTTCTTTAAGAATGGTTTGAATAGATTTTTTAATTTGCTGTCGTTATTTACACCAAAGTCATGTTCAGCTTTCTCTACTTGGTTTTCCAATAACTCTACATTTAAGGACAATCTTGACACTACACTTATAAGTGTTTCAATCTTCTTTGAAAGTAAATTTATTTCATTTCGATATTTCTTTATATCTTGTGTTACTGTCGAATTACAATCACTGTTTTTCACCCTTATCATTTGTAATACACTTGATAATTCTTCTAACCTCGTTAGCATATTATCAATAACATCTTGCACCATATGAAACCCATTCGAAACATCGAGTTTCAAATAAGCAGCATAATCTTGGATAACTTCTTGCAACATACCTATTTGTTTTATTCTTGTTTAGACTCCAAAATCTGGATATAAATATTCGAGTACACTCACTATGACCATATCAAAAATATCTGTCAATAATTTTGACAAGTCTTTTAAAGAAGTCGGGCATAGAGGGATGAACTTGATAAGTATTTCCATCGCGGTTTTCCATGGAAACTCAATATATCAATAACCATTTGAAAAGTAAACTTGATAATATTACAAACCTGAACCAATATCTATTCAAATTGGAAGGGATTCTAGGATTGTGAAATCTTAAGGACCATGACATTATTTTCGACTCATTTTCTTGCTATTGCAACCCCAACTTACCACAGACTAAGCAACTAATAATTTAGGTTTCGTTCATACCATTTAAATATCTATGTATAGGGATTAAGCCGTGTCGACTCTGACCCATAATGGTGTCGATTCTGACATGATTCTCTAAATCTAAACTTAAATTTGACAACAGTGTAACCTTGTCATTTTTTATACAGAATGAAAAGGAGAGATTAATGTTAAATTTAGTTTTAAGTTTAGAGAATCACGTCAGAATCGACTCCAATACATGTATAAAACCGATGCGTCACGATACGTTATGTATGTTTCTGACTTTACGAACAAGTTGTAGTAAAGTGATGCCAAAAAATAGTACCTGGTATGACGTCACCAACGAATGGTTCTTGACTTTTTCGATAGCAGGAGAAACAAAATAAGGTGACCATGTTTGAGCCTGTGTACAGGAGAAAGTACGCAGAAATGGTATTCATATAGGACACGTTGATAATAACGAGTTACTTATTCCCTTAAAATGTTTAATTAATATCAATTGAATAGACATCAGTTATTTCATGTATAGTTTTCAATTGTTTTCATATTTATTATAAATAAATATATATATTTCCAACACTCACACCAATTAGCCTAGCCCCAAAGTAAGCACTGTAAGGCTTGTATTATGGGATACCAGGGTAACGGATAGAATACATATACAGTACATTATAATAAGTATATTTATATAGAAATACATTTAAAACATCCATGACTGGAGTACAAATGCTCATATTCATCACACAAACATCTACCCCCACCGGGATTCTCAACTCGGCGACACCATGAAACCCGGCGTACAAACCACTCGGCCACGGGGACGTCAATTATAAAACAAATGCCTTTGTTATGAAAACCATATGTGCTAGATTATGAAGTAACTTTCAGTTAGTGAGCTGCGCCCGACATTCATAAAAAGAGGAAACTTTACAAACTATTAGCGAGCGCTCGCTACTTCGTCTGCGTTAACTTCAGTTTATTCAGAACCCACTTTTCAGGGATAAAGAGTATCCTATATCTCAAACCAGAAAATGCAACAATATGTACGTCTTTCATCCATATTTGTTCAGCTGTTTATGCGTGATTTAGTGTCAAACATACAAAATTTCATAATTATAATATTACTAGGGTACAATAATCGAATTAATATTACTACTTAAGTTATTATACTAATAATTTTAAATAATGTCGCTTAGCAAAACTAAATTATTTTAGTTTGAAGATTAAGAATAACAATTTGGGCAAACGAGTTGTAACCTACCACGCCACGTGAGTCCAGTACGTATGTGCTATTGAATGCAAATTAAAATTATGCACGGTAAGCCATTAAGATGCATCTCTATGGCTTAATGCGCCTTTGGAAGAACGTAGTGACGTAGATTGCATGCAGTTTTGGTCACTTACCTGATCACTGACCCTGACTGGACTTTCACAACCGCATGGCCAAACTAGCTACCGCGCCATCGAGTTCAATATATTTTGAATATAAAGTCAAACCAATAATATCAATTTCAACTTTATTTTATTTATTTATTTCATTCAAGAACAAAATCCGTAGCAATTTATTATATTAATTTAGATAGTTATTACAATAATTAAGTCTTAAAAGGTATCCAAGTCTGAATTATAGCTGTGTGGAGTTAAATGCAAAAATGGGAATCTGAAATAAAATATTATTAAATAAGTATAAGTGAACTCAGACGAGGATTCTGGTGACGAAAATCTTTTCACATCCATACCATTGATTGATGAACTGGGCGAAAGAGGCCTAAAAGCAACTGGTGCAATCAAGGAAAATAGTTTGTCAAAGTGCCCTTTGTCATCAATTAAAGAACTTCAAAAGCCGGAGTGTGGGATTTACTCTTTCCAATCTAGTAGAGCAGAAGAAATAGTGGTAGCTTTCCAATTACAGCATTATAGCGCATTATGCGGCATAATGCTTAACGTTGAGTGCAGTGGCGGACTAAGCCAGTTTTCGTGCTTAAAAAGCACGGCTATACTAACCAGTCGCTCTTGACTTATTTCAGATCGAAGATAATTTTTAATTAGTTTAAGTTTCGAAAAACTTCTCTCGCATGATGCAACCGAGATGCAAATGGTCAAGAAATATTGAAGTATAAGTGATATACAGGGTAACGATTCACTGAAGTCCCATTTTATTATAAATTGAAGGATTTCTTAGGCGCTCCATTTTGCAGCAACATCCATACACATATCAGTGGCTTTTACATGCCTGCGGTATCTTTTCATTGGGAAACTTGCTCCTTGTCAAATTCACCATAACTTTGTAACAAATTATCAACTGCTACAGTCAGAGCGTCATCTGAAGCTTCTAGCATAATCTTTGTTTCCATGTTTTGGAAAACATTATTGATTTGTTTCATGGTCCTGTATCGTGTCGATAATTCTTGTATGAATCGGTCAATGCATTCATACATTCATCATGAGCTGATTCACCCAGCATCGTTCTTTTTACCTTCCTTCTTGCTCGTTTCTCGATGTTGATGTCCATGTCGTTGCATTTTTTATTTTTTTTATGTCTAAAGTTAAGCATTGTCTACAGTCTGTCTATAAAGCAAAGACTTTATATAATACCTAGACTGTGCACGAAAAAAATTAGTTAATCTAAAGTAAGATTTATATCTGTAGTAATAGGATAGCTATTATCTTGATAAGCGGTCGCTAGTAAAAACGGTCCTGAGTGAGAAAGCACCCAACGGTAGTGTGTCCCTTTCTAACGTCTTGCCAGCTCAATTTATCATTGGGTTTGGTAGAAATGGTAGAAAATGTCATCCTTTTCTATTTGTGATTTACTGATTAATTACCGATACGAACGATTCGTAAACTATGAAACGTATTTAAACATTTCTACAGTTCCTATAAATAATAAAATAATCATTGATATTTTTAAAATAAATCTAAATACAGAAAAAAGTAGTATTTAATTAGTTGAGCCTGGTTATACTGAATGTAATATGGTGATTTGTTCACTTGATGACAATGACAATCATGACACTTGATGACAATTTGATTTGAAATATTGTAAATTTGCTTAATAAAGTGTATTTTTTTAAAATGGTGAACTCGTGTTGTGTAACAGGGTGCTACAATGAATCTTATCCCGGTAGCCCTTTTTCTTTTCACGGGTAAGTAAAACTTACAATCATATTCATTAGGTGAACCATGAATTTTGGAGGTAGATGCGTTTTTTTTTTCTTAACATGAGTTGTGTAAATTTAATGAATCAATTATTAAATAATGCGGTCGCGGTTACTTCCTTGTTTCGTAGGTAATTTATAGAGCGTTTTTAGATTCGTATCATCATCATCAGCCTATTAATGTCCCCACTGCTGGGGCACAGGCCTTCCCTATGGATGGAATAGGGAGATTGGGCCATGACCCACCAGGCGGGCCCAGTGCGGATTGGCGGGTGCTAACGACTGCAGATGCAGCCGGGACCAACGGCTTAACGTGCCTTCCGAAGCACGGAGGAACTCGAGATAGATGTTTTTGGTCACCCATCGTTGCTTAACTTCAACCATCGCAGCCGAACGCGCTAACCACCTGCGCCATCGAGCTCCTCACAAAAATAGAAAAAAAAAAAAAATTTTTTTCTTGTATTGTGTAGATTCCCGAAGAACAAAAAGCAGAAATTGATGTAGGAAAATGCAGTGCCTGGAAAAATTTCTAAGTCGTCAGTTGTTTGCAGTGCGCATTTTAAATATGAAGACTTTGTCCCTGGTTATACAAGAAAACTGCTGAAAGCTGATGCTGTTCCATCAATATTTCCAAAAGTAAGGTTAAATCAAGAAGTTAAAGCTTAGAAGCTACGGGAGGGATATAAGGCTACATTGCGACAAAAACTGCTCAAAACTATATTATTTAGCAATGTATAAAAACCAATTTTAATAAAAATATTGTAAACAAATGATTGACTTTTTTCCATCCAGAATTTGATGAATTTGATTTGGCATTGACCGATTTCTCTACCTCACAATATGTGGGTACCCCTTACCTTAATAAACATGCTTTTAAGAGTACTTTCCCTTCAGGTGGCTGGCATTACAAAATTCAACCCTCTTTATCTAATCTCAGTCCAAGCCAAGCTACGCGTGCTAGTTTGAATACCGAATGAAACAGTTCATAGTACCTATGTATTATTATTTTTAAAACCTACATAACTTCGTTTGGTCTGCGTTAAGAGGTATATGTATAGATGAGGTTTTTCATATTAATTCACACTACATAGTCTAAATTAATAAAAAAAAAAAGTTTTTGTCGATGTAACAGCAAAAAAAATCTGCCAAAATCAGGTATTGGCATTTATGTTAAATTAATGGTAAGTCTGATGATACATTTTTGTTTCTTAGGTTTTCACGCACATCACTCATTAAATAAAACTAGTTTTTCACGGGTTGATGCACGAAACTTTATTTATTTATTGACGTTTCGCAGCCTTTACAGGTCGCGTCGTCGGAATTTGTCATCATACAAAGACTTAGTGTAATTTTTTATTACACTAAGTCTTTGTATGATGAACTTAGCAAGTTAAAAAATACGCCATGTAGTTTTTATTTTAACTCATAATCACAAATTACTTACATGTTTAGACAGTAGCAGATACTAAACACAATCCTCTTTACAAGCTATATTAAATAACAAATACTAATAACAAATTTTGTCCCGCGTTACGCTTGAATATGGTCACTTCATTAGAAAGGAACACACTACCATTGGAAGCCCTCTCGCCCGGACCGTTTTTAACGCGATGGTGCACAGTCTAGGTATTATATAAAGTCTTTGCTATAAAGTCGTGACATTAAATGAAGGCGCCACTAGTATGCATGTAGCAACCCTGTACAGTCTGACCAAAATGATTTTGATACTAGCAGTTCATTCAAGTAAAATAGGTAATTAATAAGACACACTATACAGTCGTATTTTGTTTTTGTTTTATATATAGTAGGTACCTATGCTTATAAAAAGTTTAGCCAAGCATATTTAATTGAATCAGAATAAAATTATTATAGATAAAATAGTACTTTATGGTGTAAAAGTGTGTAATGTTGGTGATTACCGCTGAGGTGCCATTGAGACCAGAGCCTTTAGGTAATCATCAATACACACAAGTATCATCATATGACGTTTTTTAACACACTTGTAAAGAAAAGAATACTAAAAATCATTTTATAGTATATAAAAAAATTAATTAGAGAAACAATTTGTAAATGTGCAGTTAGTAAAATTAGTGATAGGTATCTATGAAAAGCATCTGGCCATGGTTCTTTATGTGACCATTTCTTTCTTTGGTCGGCCTTGCCTGTTTTCCCAGGAGTTTCAAACTTTCCATCATTCTTAAAACCTTCGTTGACTATCCGACTCTCTGATTTTCCTGAAAAAAAAAAGTAAAAAAATATGTAACCGAATATAAACAATAACTTATTGGCATGAAGCAATTAATTCAAAATTGGTAGAAAACCTGACCGAGTTGAACCATAATAACGTATCAAAAGAAATGGTCGTACTACAATATTACCTATTTACAATGTAAATCTAACCTAAAAATGTGCAATGTAAACAATGCCTTTTTTGGTCTCAAAATCGTAAATTGAGTAAATTTGTAACTTCAGGCAGATTACAAACAAATAGTTACACGATTACATACCCGTTATAGATGCTGTTCGCCCATAAAACCATCCAAATCCCACAAAATTGATCCAGCTTGGTAGTCTTCGAAACATCGCTGGAAAACTTTAAAAATCACTTCCCGCGTGCCACTCCGATTTACTTTACTCATTTTTATACCGTTCTGCGTAGTTTCGTCTTAATTTATTACAGTTTAATCCAAACAATAAAAAATACAAAAGGAAAACTGTTCCACAACTGAAACTCGATGACAGCTGATGTACATAAGTTTGGTGTTGCCAGACACATGAATAATGTTAGTTCCTCAAACATTAATGTCACGACTTTATAGACAAACTGTACAATCGTTCGTTCGGTCACTAAATACTCATTCACGGCGTTTAGTGTGGAGATTCCTGATTCCAGAGTAATTTTTGGAGACTGCAAATATTGTTGAACTTAATTTACTTCTTCCAGTAAAGAAAGCCAGAATTGTATACAGGTTAGAAAGGTAAAATCACAAACAGCCGGCAAGAGCAGGCTTGTTCCTGATCTTGTATCTAGATTTGCTTTTTTTGGATCTTGAACTTTTTTACTTTTTCCAAATACTCTAAAATGCACTAACTCAACTCTGAACTCATTTACTTTTATCACCGCAACAAAAATCAAAAACCACTATTACACTTTTTAATTAAATTACTATGAACGGATAAGATCGCGTTTATTACTTTACAATTCGAAAAAAAAATGGTTGCCTGTAAAGTCGGTTTTACGGGCGAAGATTTTACGTGACAACGTCTTTTTCTCGGTAGAATATTTATTGATATGAATATAATTAAATTGCACAATAGGAACAAGGAATTGAATGAAAATAAGAATTGCACAAATTTTAACTATAGAAATATATTTTGTTTACTAAAACATTGTACATGTAAACTTAAACTCATCGTAACGTTACCGAGCGTTACACTTTTTCATAAGTGACTCCCAGCCGCAACCTAATTTAAGACGTTGTCACGTCAAAAGCCTTCGTTTATGAAAATATCGGAACACACTAATAAATATCAACGTAATAAAATTATTACCTATATTTTTATGAGGCCGATGTTTATTTTTTGACGTAAATAGAATCCAGTGAATGTAAATGTAGGCGTACAAGAGTGAATTATTTGCACTTCGTTCATTCAGGGAAGCACCCGCTACAAAGACGGGAACCCCAGCGTATTGGATGCGTTCAGCAAAGTTAAAAAAATATTAGTACCGCGTAAAAAGTCGTCGCGGTGGCATTTGGGGGCCCCCCAAGATCGGAGGCCCGGGGCGGGCCGCCCCTTGCGCCCCCTTGTTAGTTCGCCACTGGTTGAGTGTTTCAACTACAGCAACGCTTCGCACAATCGAGCACTCTCAAAAGTAATGCTTTCGTGTGATGCGTGCAATCGTACCAACTCAGAGACAAAAAATTAACAAGTGTTTTTTCTTTAAGTTGGCATTGATCGAAATGTTTTATTTATACGTTAGTAATATTATGTATTGTTGAAAAAATATTAAAACTCGTGTCATTATTGTTTTTTTTAAATAATCAAAGTTAATTCAAACTGTTTTAAAAAATAAATATAAAAAACATTGACTTTTTTTTTCAACGCTTAACTTAGCGCACTCTGCTGATGCATTTGAAAACTAATTCACGTTCCATTTAAGTATCAGCATAATTCGGCATTGTGCGCCACTGAGTCGCATTATGCTCTGTAATTGAAAAACCACCACAGTTGTAATAGTGGCATCATAGATCATCAACATAGATTAAGGAAACAAGTAGACTTAAGTAAAACTGTACCTACATGTTATTTAGCAAAACATAGCAGTAAATGTTGTACCATAGAAACAAATAAATTTAAATAATTACCAAAAAGATAGCGAAACTCGGGCCCTTGCGTGCGATGAGAAGGAGAGGGAACTCACGCAGGAGCCCGAGACACAAGTAGACTTAAGTAAAACTGTACCTACATGTTATTTAGCAAAACATAGCAGTAAATGTTGTACCATAGAAACAAATAAATTTAAATAATTACCAAAAAGATAGCGAAACTCGGGCCCTTGCGTGCGATGAGAAGGAGAGGGAACTCACGCAGGAGCCCGAGACCGCAAACATAACACAAGGTACACAAATAGAATAAACTGAAAAACCTTTTGTTCCACAAAGCATGTGCAATAGATAATAAGTGAAAAAAAAAGAAGAAAAAAAAAGCGTATACATATAATAGAATATTCATTAAAAAGGGGATGGACAATATGTCCAAATTATATTAGTTAAGTAGACATAAGTGAGCATGCCGCATGTTTGCATGATTAAATATAAAAGGCCGCACTGAGTGCACAAACAAATGTATATAACCAAACTTAAAAAAAGTCAAACTAAATAATGGCATGGGCATACGCCTATGGAGTAATTGTATTCAAAAAAAAAAATAGTGGCATCAAACGCAGTGAAAGTTATGCCCATTAACAAGATAAAAAGGTTTTCACATCAGCAAAAGAAATACATATTAGTCTATCAACCTGCCATAATCAGAGCATACAATGAAAATATGGGTGGAGTAGATCGATCTGACCAGAACATCGGTCTGTATCGGACGTCAATTCGTGGTAAAAATTTGTACTTTTCTCTTATATGCCACTGCACTGCATTGTAAATAACTTTATAAAAATAATGACGGGGATAAAGATCACTTGAATTTCAGAAGAAGTATTGCCACTAGCTTATTAGAAACCTACAAAGACGAAGGTACTCGAAAAGGTTGTAGAGTTTCGAAGAGCTATCATGAGGAGTCGCGATATTATAATAGAGGCCATATCATCAGGTAAAAGACAGGACGACTCAGGTGTGCTGTGTGTCACAAAAAAGCTAACTTTACTTGTGTCAAACGTGAAGTTAGCTTTCATCCTAAATTATGTTTTGCACAATATCATACCAGCGAGTGAGAATAATTCAAATTTATGGTTTTTTTTCACACTGAGAAATAAAATAATTAACATTACTTACATATACTTGTTTCATTGTTTGTTTATTTATTTAATTGTAAATAAATGTATTTACAAGGTTGCACACAAATATGACCTCATAGTAGCGTAAATTACTAGTGGGACTTAAAAGAAACCCTCATTTCCCGCTTTTCCGAAATCGATATATTTTTCTGTTAATATTTTTAGCAAGTCAAACGTCAAAACGTCATATCAAAAAATCATATTGTTAACGGATCCTAATTTTTCCCGTATTGAGTGGGTTAATTTTTTGACTTGACATTGGCTGAACGCAATAAGCCTTGCTTTCCACAAAAAAGAAATAAAAAGAGGTTTTGGCGGGATTTAATCGTGTGCGGTTGACGTCTTATTTCCCATAAAAAAGAAAAAGAAGAAGAAGACGTCTTATTTCAATTATTCTTAATTCGTTCATAATGGATTTTGTGAAATAAAATTGGTATGGTTTTGTGTCACAACTGTCTGCACAACTAAAGAATTAGTCGAATCTTTGAAATATACGCTATTCCGATCAAGTGGACGTGAGAACTTTATTGTAGCGTTAACTACCTCACAGAAGCTTATCGCAAAAACCAACTCGATACATTTTGTGCCAAACACTCGAAGTAACATTAGAATGCGTCACACCGACATTCTAATGTTAAAAAAAACAGAAGATGAATAAAATTATATACTGCATGGGCATTGTTCCCTTTGCCTTTCCCTAAAATGAGAGAATCTTAAAAGTAAATACTGACGTGAGACTGACGGATGATGTCTGACTGATTGCTGTTTCTGTTCGTAAAAAAGGGGCAAGGAGCGTTGTGTTATTTTGAGTTTAGTGATATAAATGTGAAGTAGCCCACCTACATATAAATAGTTAAGACATGCTTCCATCAACTGGTTATTTCAAAGGAATTAATTGTCCTTTTTATGATAACGGATTATGCGAGCGCCCCTATTGTCACTTTCGTCATGTTAAAAAGGAATTGCAGGGAACGTCCAATGAGAGTATTGAAAGTGGAGCAATTCTCCAAAAACTAGTGTCGGCAGCGGTTCAGAAAGTACTACAACAGGCTGATTCAGCAGGCACGACGGCTGACGCAGTTGACGTTAACAGTGATAAAAGCAATTCTCAGCCGTTAGTAAAAGCAACATACAACCCAACTCCTATATCCGAATTGAAAAAGATTTCAAATCTTGATTCCGAAAATAAGGATGACGTAAATGAACAGAAAAAAAGACATATTCCTGTTCCATATACTCCTAGAAAGCCAGCCAGTCTGCCTATCAAGAGACCAATAGATACAAACGGTTCCTCAAAACCATTTATATACATACCACCACCACCTGTGAAATATACTCCTGGATGCACTGAATCTGTTCAGCAAGACCAATACACTCCAAAAGGAGGAACTGAATCAGAGAATAAATATCTTCCTGGATCTGAGACCGAAATACCAGAATACAAACCAAATGAAACAAAAAATACATCCAATAAACACAATTATGTTCCTTCAGATAAAACTGTAAGTAAAAAGAAAATATTAGAGTACAAACCTATCAAAGTGTCATCTAAGAATGAATCTTCAACTGTTACCTATCAGCCTACACCAAGGTCACTAGTACCATGCTTTTCCAGTGATGAAGATGAACCGAATAGCAAGAAAAGGAAACCTTCGACTGATCTTAATGGTTTAGATGATTTAGGGCCTGAATTTGATATATTAGACCAGATTCTAGATGAAGAACAATCTGTAGAACATCAAGGTGTTCAATCTAAAAGTTGTAATATAGTAAAAGTGAGTGATGATAAAAAGGCAAAATTAAATGATAAATCACAAGAGGCTGACAAAGTAAAAGAAAAGTCACATAAAAGTTCTAAGCATGAAAAGTCGAAAAGAAATCACAGTGAAGATCGTAAAGCACATGATAAACAAAAAACAAAATCTAAGGAACATGACAAAAAGTCGAGTTCAAACAAATCTAGTAAAGACTCAAAAAAGGATCATAAAAAGAAAGATGACCGAAAAGAAAAATATGATAGCGAAAGGAAAAAGCATTCTAGTTCCAAAAACTCTCATGAATCTTCAAAGAAATCTAAATATGATTCTTCAAAAGTTTCTGAAAAACATAATAAACATTCCAACACATCTAAAAGTGATTTAAGAAGTAAAAAAAGAAGTGATCACAAGAGCCACAAAAAATCTGGGGAATCAAAGGAAAAATCAAAGACCAGCCAAAGTAAAGAAAAAGATACAAGTAACATATCTGATAGTGACAATGCTGTCACTGATGTTATAGATTCTAATTGTGATGATTTATATGAGTTGTCAGAGTCTGATGAGGAATCTAGAGCAATGGAATGTAAAAGGATATTTGAAGAATATGTGCCTACAGAAATTAAACGTCCTGAAGAAATTATGAATAAAATAGAAAACATTACTGAAGATGAGTATGTGCCTACAAAGAAAAGAATATCAAGAACTGCAGACAAAAATGTAAAAGTTACTCCTAGAATCCCAGTGAAGCCAGACTTCAAAGTTAATGCTGCTAATGCTATGGCCGAAAGGTTGGCCAAGGTTAAAGACTATCATGCTTCTAAAAGACTTGAAATTACAAATGACAGTACTACTACTAAATTTGATACCCTCAAAAATGTAATTGGTACTCCATCTGGTAGTACTACTAAAGTTCGTATTGCACATGTGCCTTATGCTTCCACATTGATGAATGCAAAGAAGACTATATCTAATACAAATTTGTTAAAAAATGAACCATCAACAAGCACAACTATAACTCAGACTGTAAAAAAAGGTACGCAAAGAGTAGCTCATGTACCAAACGAGAAGTTCATTGATCGACCGGGTGTACTTGAACCATTGGGTTCAAAAATTCCTGCAAATATTAGATCTACTTACTTAAACATGATGATTGATGAATGTTTAAAAATTTATTTATCTTCTATGGATGCTTATAATCGTGCACAACATGAAGAGTTAACTACAAGTAAAAAGTGTTCAACTGTACAAATATATAAAAATTCTGCAGTTTTGACTGTAAGCAGATTACGGCGAGAGTTTCAAGAATGTAATGGTGTTAAGAAGTCAGGATCTGAGTGCTCAAACTTACAAAAGATTCCAGCAATCACTATAGGAAATTCTAATAATGCCGGTTCATGGAGTATAGAGAATAAAAATAAAAGAATTTCAGATAATTCTCAGGAGTTTAGTGGAGCTAAATTATATAATAATATTCTAAGGTGGGTTTTGAGTGAAGAGCAATTGCAAGCAAATGGTTTTCCAAGATTTCATCCCAGCAGTGAAAAAGGAAGAGCAATTATATATGGTCAAAAGAAACAAAATCCCCCAAAGGGTTATATCAGAACTTGTTGTAGATGTAAAAAAGATTATACAGTGGATAAAAAAGGGTTTGCAGCTATTAGAGAAGAATGTATATATCATCCTAACAATAAGTATAGGATTCGTGGTGAAGTGCATTATCAGTGTTGCAGTCAAGATGGTACCTCTGATGGGTGCTGTGTAGCACCCAGTCATGTTTATGAGTATGTTGATTATGAAAATCTTAAAGGGTATGTTAAAACATTACCACCTGAAAGGGAGCTTGAAGATTATGGCGTGTTTTCACTTGATTGTGAAATGTGTTACACAACACATGGATTAGATTTAACGAGAGTAACAGTTATAAACAGTGATTGTAAAGTTATCTATGAGACCCTGATAAAGCCCCTTCATCCCATTGTAGATTATAATACCAGGTATTCAGGTATCACAGAAGAACAAATGATGGGAGTGAAAACTACATTATTAGAAGTTCAGGCAACTCTCCTCGCCATGTTTAACAGTAAAACTATCCTTATTGGGCACAGCTTAGAATCTGACTTTAAAGCTCTTAAATTAATCCATGATACAGTTATAGACACAAGTGTATTATTTCCACATAAAATGGGTCCCCCATATAAACGGGCTCTTAGAAATTTATCATCAGAATATTTAAAGAAAATTATACAGAATTCTGTAGATGGTCATGATAGTGCTGAAGATGCCATGGTTTGTATGGAATTAATAATTTTCAAGCTTAAAGAATATTTGAAAACCAGATGATATTAATAAAAATGATTTATTTACTGGAGTGCAAAATTATTGTTATTATTACTACTAAATGAAAAGGGATTACAGTAGTGTTAATTAATTAATTTATATTTACTTAAAAGGAAACTAATAAAATTTAAGATGACTTACTTTATTTTGGAAGTAATAATCTTAATACACTATAAGAACTACATTGTGCAGTAGTAATAAGATTACCAACGATGATTTAATTTCATAATTAACGACAATATTTTTTAAGTAGCTTAATTTGTATTATTAGCTATGAATATTAAGGCTGTATTTAATAATTTTATAAAAATATTTTCCTTATTTTGAGTTTCATTTAATTTTTATTTTCTCACTCCTGCAGCGTCGCAGCCCTACCAAATTCTGCCCGTATCTAGTTCTAGCGATCCTGGTTTTATTTCCGCAGGTATGCCGAGCGCCGATGTCCATTCGCGCACAGAGGTCGTTAGCATAAGCCATAGCTTATGCTACTTAATCTCTGCTAACCGCCCCGTTAAAAAAATACTAAATTTTAAATCGAAAGAAAAGTTTACTAGAAAAAAAAATACACGCGGACCAGGCAGCGCACGGGACTCGAACCCGCATCCTTCGCAACCGGGCGAATGCACTGACAACACATAAGATACCTACAATGCAAAGAGATGGCGCTGCCTTGCAGCTTAAGGCTAGGAAAATTTCGACGCGGCTAATAGGGCCGTGGTAGCATAATGGTCAGTGCATTCGCCCGGATTGCGAAGGATGTGGGTTCGAGTCCCGTCCGCTGCCTGGTCCGCGTGGATTTTTTTTTCTAGTAAACTTTTCTTTAGATTTAAACATCTGGCAGTTAAATGCTTAAAAAATAAATGAAATCATAACTATAAAATATTTATTTAAAATGTATTAAATGATACATAAATTAAATTAATGGTGTAATTGGAAAAAAGAAAACATCTAATTATAAACTTATTCTATAAAATCATAAAGCCTGATCCCAAATTGTGTCTTTTTTTATTAATGTTTCAAATTGATTTTTTTAGAAATTGGCATTATTATAATAATTCTATTTGCTGTGCCCATAATCGGGACAGGCTCCATAATCTGATCTGTAAATATTTTGAAAACCTGTTGTAGGTAATTCAGGTGGTGTGGTTATTGAGAACAGTTCTAACTGACTCGCTTCGGAAAATCGCGTGTTGTCTAGTAAGACCTAGTTTTAACTGATATTCCATTTTAAGCATTAGTCAATTCTAGTTTTAACAAAGGTATTTACTAAGAACTAGTTCTTACTAGGGAAAACGCGTTCTATCTTAAAACTGGTTTTAACTGTAACATATACATATTAATCAGACAGGCTGCCAAAGAAGTAAATAATAATAAAAAAACATAGTCCGGTCAAACTCTTGAGATGCTCTAAGGTCAAACTAAAAGGGGTGCTCAAACGGTCTATATATGCTACGGTACACCCTATCCAGGTAGGTGGGGTGTATCGTGTATGTACGACAACTCTGCATCACACATACTTGCAGCTTCTCAGAGTCGATCGTAAGTAGTCTAAAAAATTTGATCGCCAGCAGTTCAAGTTTGAGCACCCCTGAACTAGACATTTAAAGGTACATAAATTTACATCAAGCTGGAAGCGAGAAAAATTGTTCAAAGTATTAGTAAAAATAACATTTACAAATTCCCCACCGTTAAGGTATCTACTTGGAAAAAATATGCTCGAGGTCAAAGGCAAAAAAGTTTGTTTTCGCAATTTTCATCAAAACGGTAAGTGCTGTTGTAAAATTAGCTCAGACAAAACTTGTAGATCATAAAATTATCTATAAAAAGGTATAAATATTTTTTCCTAAGACCCACCGTTCCTGTTTAAAACAGTAAGTTCTATCGACATTTTACGATAAAACTCCGTTTTGATGAAAATCGCGAAAAACCAACCTGTTTTTACCTTTGACCTCGAGTAATTTTTTTCCAAGTACCGGAACCTTAGAATTTTGAAATGTTATTTTTAATTATGTTTTGAACAATTTCAGTCATTTCCAGCTTGATTAAATGTATGTACCCTCACTCACGGCCCTCACTCTTATTTTTCTGTCTAATTTGACCAGATTATAACATTCATTTATTCATTCTGTACGGGACGCCGGGCTGTCGCGGGAGCGGACAGTTACCGACTCGTACTTCGGGGTGGAGGAAATTACACGCAGGAGTCTTGACGGCGATAGTGGACTGTAGCTTCGGTGAATAAAACCCCTGGTGTTCGGTATTGAAGAAATAGGTGGGCGCTGATAATGGATGGCCGGTGAGAGGAGGCTTCAGGTCCAGAGTGAACCGCTTGTTTCTTCCTGTTCCTTAGGGTAGGAGCGCCTGTCGCTGAATGCATGTCGGAGCCTGTTCCGACTCGAATTTTATATGCTAGGCCTGAGCTGGCCAGCGATCCATTACCTCACCCCCGCTATACTTTATTTTTCATTTATTCAAAAAATACAGAGGTGCGAGCTTAAAACTATACGTACATACATTAGGCATACAAATAGGCATATTTTTAGCGCAGTTGCGCGTCCGTAAGCATGATATTTTAGGTGTGGCGCGCAAAAAATAGGTCTCCGTGATATTTATATTTTCCCCCTCCATAGGGCTTCGCCCTGCCACAGGGCGCCGCTGCCCCACCCACGCGCTCTGCGCGCGCTGAGTGGGGAGCGCGAAACATTTTTAGGAGATCGTTCTATACAAACTAATTTTGCCTTATATTCGGTACATTTCTATTTTTATCGATTTGATGCCTATTTATTTATGTAGTCCTATGCGTTATCTATCTAATACAATAAGTTTCTAACAAGAATAATAATAAACAACGGCTCTATAGGCCTATAAAGTTTACAATTTTAAAGGTATTAAAAAACCTACTTACATTCATTTAATGCCTAACTATCATACATCATTCTATAGGGCAAGTGAAAATACACAAAATCAAAGCTTTATTATTAAAATTATAGATATAACCTATCAAATATTCATAGAAAAACTATATTTAACATTTCCCTTAATTACGCCTAAACTATTAAAATGATTTACACAAAACTTTACTATCTTAATAATATATCTACCTATTTCCTAATAAAATACAAAACATACAAATTCAAACACAAAAACATACTATTTTCGAAGGTTATCAACTTAGGCGAAATCTTAAAAGACTGCTAGAAAGAGACAGCCTATCGTCTCTGTCCCTCCTATATCGGTCCGAACTATCATATTCTAGTACAGTTTCCCTGCGCCACCGCTTGGCGTCGTGGCGATCGATTGGGCAAATTCTTATAAGATTATTGGTGAGAAAGAGACAGAATATCGCTTTGAACTATCAATTTTACAGTCAGTTACTATGGGCAAAGCTCTCTATTATTGCGATATCCGACTCATTCTAATAAAACAACAAGGAAATAACATTTTTAATGATCGTACAAAACAGTTTCATGTGAAATTGCATCTATAGACATATTTTATAAATCAATCTTGTTTCGATGTAAACTTTATTTCTTCTCGCTTCGGTCGTCGCGTACATACTCCCGCCGTGCAGCGTCGGTCGACTCGTCGCTGCATCCTTCTTCCGTGGGAGTGGCGACCAATGATGATGCGAATATCACCAGTCGCTTGGTCGGTCTGCGTACCACTCCTTCCGGCCGTCTTGAGATCGACGACTCGTACTGTGCCGTCTCGCCCGGGAAAAGTGCCGATGACGACTCCCTTGGGCCACGTGTTGCGTGGCAGGTTGCTGTCGATGGCCTTCCCGGTCCCGTGGGGCTCCCGCCGGTGTTGCAGCTCGGGTAGGTACTCTCGTACCCAGCGCGCCCAGAAGTGGTCGGCGAGGCACTGTGCTGCTCTCCAGTGCGGGCGGCCTATCAGGTCGCTGTCATCGAACTCGCCCGGCAGTGGGACGCGCGCTGAACCTCCCAGCAGAAAGTGGTTGGGAGTGATGGCTTCGTCGTCTTCGTGGTGCACGGACAAATGGGTGAGAGGCCGGCTGTTCACGGTGTATTCGGCCTCGGCGAGTGGCGTCGTAAGTACCTCTTCGGGCGGACATTTTTCTTGTAAAACCGCAGCTAGCGCGATTTTGACGGACTTCACGAGGCGTTCCCACGCCCCGCCCATGAACGGTGCTCCCGGTGGTATGTACCTACACCGTATACTGCGGATGCTTGCTTCTTCGCTCGTCGCCTGCTGCACTGCCTTCTTCATCTCATTTTCCGCGCCGTGGAAGTTGGTCCCGTTGTCCGACCAAATTTCGGTAGGGCACCCGCGGCGCGCTATCTTGCGCCGTAGTGCGTGTATGGCGGAATCCGTCGATAGTGAGGCGGCCAACTCGAGGTGCACGGCTCTTCTAGTAAGGCATGTGAAGAGCGCGACGTAGCGTTTTTCTTGACGCCTGCCCACGGTGACTGTCAACGGCCCGAAGTAATCCAATCCGGTGTACGTGAATAGCCGTCGGTGATGAGCGAGGCGCGTCGGCGGCAAATCTCCAGTAGGTGGCGACGGTGGCGCCGCCCTCCTTATGCGGCAGTTTATGCAACTGCTTATTATTTGTTTCGTGACGGGTCGAATGCGTAGAATCCAATAGTGTTGTCTGCACTCGTTGACTATAGTTTCCACCCCGGCGTGGAGAAGACTTCTATGTGTGTGTTCTATCCACAGTTGGGTGGCTCGATGGTTCCCGTCGAGTATCGCCGGTATCTTCTGTGTTTCGGTTACTCCCGCCGCTGCGTTGACCCGGCTTCGTAGGTACAACACGCCGTCGTTGACTATTAGCGAAAATGGGCGGAGTCGACTGTTTGTAGCGATGGTGGCGCCCCCTTGCAGCTGTCTTATCTCGTCTTGAAACGCGTCGTGTTGTATTACGCGAACTATTATATACGGTGTATCTTCGGTCGATTGCGATGAATTTTCTTTCTTGAATTATTTGCGTCGTTTTCTTCTTATGTGTCGGCGTCGATTTTCGATTTTTCTTCCAGTCGGGTTTCTTTTCGTTTTTTTTCTTCTGTAGTTAATTCGGTCGGTTTTCGCTTGGCAGAGGTCGATGAACTGTAGTACTCTTGCCGTAGTCCGAATTAACTTGTCCCAGCGCGAAAATCGAGTGACGTCCGGTGCAGCTTCGGATATTGACGGCGCTTTCTTCGTGCTTACGACTTTTCGAAAAGTATTTAAATACAAAATGCAAATACTTTTTTAATATAGTATTTCAAATGCAAGATACAAAATACTTTTGCCTTTTGTATTTAAATACTAAATACAAAATATGTATTTTCAAAATACTTTATTGAAATAAAATACTT